TCACGTGTCTTTTTGAACTTTCGTGAATACTGATTGGCTATCAAGCAATCGTAGACAAACGCTGCAAAGCAGCTATATAAGTTCCGCAATTCATCTCACCTTCCGTTGGACGCGATGCATCGCTACGAGGAAACCACATACTACTCGCATGCCTCATCAGTAACATCCGCCGTTACACAGGTAACCAGAGGGCCACTCTCCTGGGGTCCAACTGAGGTAAAATTCTACACCAACATACATATTACTTGAAGGAACAAAAATATTGAGCTCATTTGAAGGGCGTTTGTTATTTCGTGGACACAGACTTACTTGGGCCAGCCCTGATCAAGAATGTTGTTCATTTGTCCTGCTTCTTTGACATGATCCCGTCGCCAGTTATCACGTGCTTCCTCAGTGGTAACGCCACGTTTGGCATCTCGGGCCACCGGAAATGGCTCGGACTGCAAACGGCTGTCTAAAAGCTTTTGGACCCCTTGCCCTCTTTGACCGATGCATAGGTTTTGTAGGGCCTTTGAAATAGTAATGAACCGATTAATTGCCCTAAAATGTTCTCAAGCATTTTATAGAGTTGAGCATTGATGGAATGTACTAATCCACTCAATAAAAAGATGCGATCACACACAAATGATGCTACGCCGAAGCTGTAGCAAGATGACAGACAACCATTCAGATCATTTTCGTCATTCTTTCATAAACAAAATCTCGACAGGGAAGGAACTCAGCTTATCGAGGAAGTTTGGTGACAATCGGTAGATTTATTACAGGGCAACGTTTCACTTTTGACACAAAGCTTCGTCAGGCCAAGTGACCAGGTTCCGAGGTTGGTCGAGATTTAAGATGGAAGGAGAACCAATCAGCTAAGTCAAGCTAAATCTCTGTTGGGTGTCGGCCGAGGGATTTTTTGTGTTAGGGGGGGTGAACAAGTGTTGGGCCGATGGGGAACCTGCATCTATTTGGGTCCAGCCTGGGTTCTACTTCTTCTGGTTCGATCCATTTGATGAGCCATCGTTTGAACTTTGTGTCCGTCGATGTGGGTGAGCTAGTGTTAAGATAGTTGTGTAAGAGGGATGCTGTGACCTTTGGTCGGGTTGGGATTCCCATCCCACCCCCCGGTTTTCGCTAATGTGGTTGTCATGTAGAAACGTGGATTGACAACCACACAATCACCTGTCAACTCGGCTCATTTAAGACCACTTTCCATACGCTCGCCATTTCCACACCCTCAATTCTACTCACGCTGTGATGCTTAGTAATTTCCACCGCTGTGGTGTGAATCGATAGATTTAGCTTGACTTAGCCGATTGGTTCTCCTTCCATCTCGACCAACCTCGGAACCTAGTCACTTGGCTATTGTGTCCAATGTGAAACACTGCCCAGCAATGGATCTACCGATTGTCACCCAACTTTTTTGATAACGATGACTACTCAATCGGTTCCAAGTATTTTTCACCTGAAGGAACGCAGCCGTTCAATAGTGGCATTCATATAACGCTTTCTTTGATAGGATAGGCATGCAGTGTCTTTAGGCTTGACTGTGGTGGTCATTCCTATGAGTGCTGTTTGCTGCACAGGTTGTTTTATGGACCCCACTATTTGCGAGTTGGAATTTCGTTATCGACCTCTCTTTTCACAAAGGACAAGAAGCTATTAAAATTATCTGTCTGAACACCGGAGGTGTGGGCATCTGAGACACTGATGGTCAGCTAACCCTAGGACCCAATCCCTATCTCATTTTTTCTTCTTTCAATTAAAAGTCACTTTGTTCAAGTAGTTTGGCAAAAAACTTCAGCGTTCTCCTCTGATGTTGCCGCCAATGATGAGAGGCTAGAACTTCTATGATTGGCTTGGCAGCTCCTCATAACCAAGATGCAAAATACGGTACCACATTATCAAAATTCACTGTATGTCTCTGCTATGTTCTATCCTGCCTCTTACGTTTCTAGTTGCAGAGAGATGATATACATCTAACTTTGGAAATCAACCTGTTCCACAATCCTTATCAGTGAGAAAAAAACAAATGGTTGTTAACCAAGCTACAGCTGTGAATAGATCGAGGGTCTGAACGATACCGCCCTAGGGCAACCGGCTCAAAATATTCTCGACTAGAGGGTGAGTTAACGATTTCTTCCAGGCCAGAGAAAATGACCTCTGTATCAACTGTCGGGCAGTTAGGTGACATGTCCGCCACAAGCAATACAAATAAAAACAAGGGAAGCCTGTAGAAAATGCAGAATATCCACTCATTCAAACAGTTTATTCCGTGAAATCATAGAGAATTTCTCGTAAAAATTTAGTCTGTGATTCTGACCGTAAAACTTTGTTTGACGGGTACTGGCTGGACCATCCAGAGCCGAGAGGACAGGCTTTAAAAATGTAGGCAAGAACATCCAAAGGAAAAACTTACCTCTACTCCTGCGCAACGAATGCGGATATCTTCACTGCACGCTGCCGAGGACTCCTCCTTTGTCAGCGCCTTAAGGGACAATTGTCCACGTGCTCGCCGTTCATTATCCTGAGCCTCCTCGCCCTTCACAACCTTGTGTCGGGGTTCTTTTACTACCTCCTTTGGTTGTCTCATATACAGTAGACTGAAAGGAACCGGAAGAAACTCGTTGAAGCCAAGAGTATTTGGAGGTAACGACCTCGTCCTATAAACCCTGCATCCAAGAGAAGTTTATTGACCAGGACATCCTATATAACGAAAACCCCAATGACTCGTCAGAGCAGAAATATTTACCCGATAACACTACTAAAATACAAGGTTAAAAAGTGTTTTATCTGGCTAGTCTTATTGGAGACCACTTATTTTGCTATATACCTTAAAGGAGTTACTCCATCTTTTATTCCTTTGCCATGAACATCTCGTTCATCAAGATGATAGGATTGCCGTAGTTGCAGTTGCCTAATCAAATAGATATTACTTGACATCTCAATAAATAAATTTCGAAGAAGGCCCCTCAGAATCTTTCCAAATAGTCGTCTTGGTTGTTTACGTTTAGCTGGCACTAATCATCATCATAATCATCGACAGCATGACATCAGTGTTCAACACCAATGCTTCACTGCCGTACAACGATAACTTATTTGAGAGCCTTATTGTAAAGAAAAGAATAAAGGTGGACGGGGAAGGGACTTAGTGCTAGCCTAACACAATCATTCCGAGGTGCCTACACCTCCAGACATTCACTCAGGCAATCTGGATAGAAACTGACAACAAGAACGCCACTGACATCGGTTGGCA